TTTTTCCCTTTGTGTTTCAACCAAATCTCATTTCATTCCAGCTGAGGATGCAGTGACTACAGAGCTTAAAACAGTTGGATGAAATTGTATCATGCAGTGGATTCCCTCCTCTCTACTGATTCTTCCCACAGTGACTTCTAAGGCTCCATAATGCTTGACCTGGTATTATGCAATACACTCACTCCATAATGAAATTCCAACTGTCCATATTATAATTTATGTGATAATACTCTGTTGATTTACTCAAAGTTTAAATTGCAAAACGAAGGATATCGATGCAAAAAAGTTACAAGAAAATTAAGAAAAAGGGTTAGACCTTAAACATTGTTGACATAATGCGTTTGCTATATATTTCTGTGGTTCAACTCTTCTGTGATCAACATCTCATCTCTGAACTGTAACAGGCAGCTTAAGCACAGTATAACAGCATAACAAATATGAACTGGAAAAACTTTCCAAGAAAAAAGATGTGCATAATTTTCCTCTACTGTCCGAACAAAGGGAGAGATTTCAGGTGGCCCCAAGGGGTTTTCAAGCCTCGAGCGTCTCTGAAGGGGAATGGCAAGGTGGCAATCTGGGAAATCTTCCTGCTGCTTTTGCAAAAATCTCTCCGAAACGACCTGAGGTGAGAGTTCCATTCCGATATTCCAACACAGACTCATTAGCAAGTTGGGCATGTGGAGACATGTTTGGTTGCAGTGGTGGAAAATGGGACTCTCTGACCAGGAGGTAAGGACCATAGGCGTGCGCAGCACATTTCATTAGGGTGTGCACCCAGGAAATTTTTTTTTAAAAAGGTGAACATCATAAAGGGTGGGGTGTGGGAGGGGGTGCTGTGTGCGGGAAGGGGCTCAGGGCAAGGGATTGGGGGCAGAGGAGGGGTGTGGGATGTATGAGGGGGCTCAGGGAAGGGGGTTGAGGTGCAGGAGGGGTGCGGGGTGCGGCAGGGGGCTCAGGGAAGGGCTGGGGTTCAGGAGGGGTGCAGTGTGCAGGAAGGGGCTCAGGGCAAGGGATTGGGACAGAGGAGGGGTGTGGGGTGCATGAAGGGGCTCAGAGAAGGGGCTTGGGGTGCATGAGGGGTGTGGGGTGCATGAGGGGGCTCAGGGCAGGGGATTGGGGTGCAGTGTGAGGCAGGGGGCTTAGGACAGGGAGTTGGGGTGCAGGAGAGGTGCAGCA